CCTCTGCAAGGTGCCCCGGGGCTGCCTGTGTGGGTCGGAATGGGCTTGGGAAGGGAGGAAGCTGGCGCCTCGGAGGCCGCTGCTGGAAGCCCCCAGGTTCTCCCAACGCCAATATTTTTTTTTGTCTGTGTGAAACACTTTTTAATGCTATGATACCCCTAGTCACGCGCAGCAAGAGATGGGCAGGTGTCCCAAAAAGAGTGGTACTACCTCCATTTTACCCACTGGAATCTGCTTATCCATGCCCTAGAGATTGTCCTGAGCAGGAGCCACCCAGCCCCGTTGCTTTAGCAGCGCCTCGTGGGGCATTGTGCAGCCAGCCCGTCCGCCGAAGGCCAGAGCGGTGGCATGGCTGTTTTTCCCCCTTCTACTTCCCTCTGAAGTTTGGTTCTCCATCTCTCTGAACTTCAATCACGCTTTTGTAAAACGGATGAGCTGCCTCCTGCAGCTTTGTGGTCTTCTGGGCAGTAGTGGAGAGCGGTGGAGTGTGATGACTGTGTAATTGCTCGTTACCAATGCCTGTCAATGCATCTCACCGCAGTGACACTGTACGGCGTGTTCACCAACCACTACTCTGTGAATGGCCCGTCTCGCTGTCTCCTGCTGGAGCTGCTGGACATCAGCGTGTCCGAGCTGCTGCTGCACTCCAGCAACCAGGGCTGCTCCATGTGGATGATCCAGCACTGCGCCCGAGATGTTCTGGAAGCCCTGGCATTCCTACACCACAAAGGCTACGTGCATGCAGACCTCAAGCCACGCAACATCCTGTGGAGCGCAGAGGAGGAGTGCTTTAAGCTCATTGACTTTGGACTTAGCTTCAGAGAGGGGAATCAGGTTTGGAACGTGCTGCTCTTAAAGTGGTTGGCTCTGTGTTGAGTTGTGTGGGTCTGTGATGCTTTTGGCTCATGCGTGTATGAGACAACGTGACCTGATCGGGGTAGTAGCTGAGCTGGTGCTGAGAGTTTCCTGGAAAAGGCTAAAATGGTGTCTGGCTTCAGAAGCAGAAGCTCATGTTCCCAATCTCCTTGCATGTCTCTGGTTTCTGTTGATGTCTTAGCCTGAATTCCAAAGTTAATGATGCACTGAAAAAAGCGGTGTCTCAACTTCCTGGGAAGTTTGCTAGTTTTTATGTGGTCAGACGAGTGGGAGCACCCAGATCCATAGAATTTCCTTTTATCATCCCTTATCATATGAAGCAGTAATCCAGGCTTCACCATCCGCCTCCCCAGTCAATTGCATTATCTCTGGCAGCGTCCTTGTGCTTGTCTTTACGTTCATCCTGTCTTCAGCAGCTTCCCTTTTTCAGTAAGACTGGATGTTTCTTTCCCATGCCATTGTGTGGATGAAAGCCCGTACTCTGGCGGTGGGTAGACAGCATCCACTCTTTACTGACAGGGACAGATCTCTGTCTGTTCTGCTCTGCTTTTCCTGTTTGCTGGGCTTTCACTCCCTCTTCATGCTGTCTCTTTTTTGTTTAGGTGATACTGGGTTTTGTAGGTTTGTTCTTGCCCTTTTTATTCTCTTCCGTGGCCCCTGATGAAAGGGAGCGAGTCTCAGGAGGGTCTGCTGTTGGCTTCATAGAGCTTCCTTTCACCTCTCCGTCTCTCAGTAATGGTCCGTGAGGGGTATCCGTAAAGCTTTTTCACCAGGTAGCCTCTTAGCAAACCTGCCTTTAATCGCTGGGTGATAGGCAGTAAGTCTAGTAAACGAGCCATGATTTTTCTGTGCAGACATTTGTCCTGGCTTTTCCCTACTCCATGGACTGGACTCGTTTAGAGGTTTTAAATCCACATACTTTTTTTCCTGGTTGGCCTGGTATTGACGTTACGGCCCACTGATCTGTGAATATCAGAGGATTGTGTGGGTGACCCGTTTGAATTCTTTGGTACAAGAGCTGTTTTTAATGTTTGTACTTCCTAATTCCTCCATGTTGTTCTTTGGTTCTCCCACGTTCTTGGCTGAACGCTGGTTTGTGCTGCTAATCTGTTGCTCTCTATCAGCAAAAAAACATTCTCCTGGTGTCCTGTGTCTAATGCAGATATTTTTTTTAATTCAGGTCTGTGTTTTGCTGCCTGCTCTGTGAATTGCCTCATAACAGTTGCTCAGGTGTTTTATCTGCTTTTGTGGTTTCTTCCAATCTCCTTGGTTTGGGCTGAGTTTCCTTTGCCCGTTCTCAGAAATATGCTGGCTATAGGGGTGAACCTGCTGATCCTGCTTTGAATGTGCGCCGGGTATCAGCTTCCCCGCACCACCCCGCCTTAGGCAGCAGCATACGTGCATGATTTCCTTATCTGACCCAAGACTATACTACTTTTATCTGTGACAACTCTGCCAAGCTTATTCTTGCATAACTTTTACTGCCGTTACTGTTTAACAGAGAATGGCTGTACATGGAGCAAGGTCTCAGCCACTTATGTCTCTCAAAATGCTTTAGATGATAGGAGAGAAATCCCATCTCACAATTTTTGCTGGTGGCATTGACCACGGTGTTTTCTCTATCTCTAAATGTTGCTTGGTGGGGCTGCTGAACTGCTGCATTTGCTGTGCCAGAGGTTCTGTTCTTTGCTGATAGGGACACTGGTGAGCAATTTGTGAATCAATTTTTTATTTTTTTTTTTTTAAGTTCATAAACCACTTTTGAGCTCTGTTGCCTGAAAAAGCCCTTTGTAAACTGTATTTTCAATTAGAGAACCAGATAATTTTTGTTTGAATATACTCCCCTAGTAAGAATTCCCAGTCCTGTGCTTTGCCCAGAAAGTAGGCTTGCAAGTTCTCCTGTCATTCCTTGAGCCGCATCAGCGTGTCTAAAGCGAGCCCTCCCGTGTTAAAAAGGCGCAGCATGCGTTTGTCTTTGGGCACTTACAAGACTTGGCCAGGCAAGGCCACAGCTGACTGATCAGGTATGGGCTGCGAGCAGGAGGCTGGACTGGAGACCTTCAGAGCAGCCCCTCCCGCCAACACTTGTGCAATTCTATAATTTCCTGGTTTCTTTATCAAGCAGGCAACGCTTGGGCGTTTTGTTTTACTCTGCCAGCCGTGGCAGCCGGGCAGGTATTGATTGCTGCAGCACTTCTGGCTGCGAGGGGGAGAAGGAAGAGGTGCGGGGGAAGCGCCTTTGATAATTTCCTTGTCTGAGCGTTAGGCGCCTGCTTCATTCTTTCAACGTTTTGTTCCAGAGAACATCAGTACTTGAATAATGGCAGCTGTTACTGATCCTCACTGTTCAGAGCGGGCTGTTTGTGCTCTCATGCAGCCGACGTGGAAGCGTGCTGTGGGTGTTCAGCCCTTAGCCTGAAATTTGTAGCGTCTTCTGCGCTTACAAGAGGTTAATGGGCCGGTCCGCAGTGACATCCAGCCTCTTCCTCCTAGCAGTGCTGTCTTTCAGAGAGGTCAGATGTGAGTGGGATGCCTGCTGTTTTGCTGGGAGATGTTTTCTCTTCCTGACAGTCTTGATTTTTTCCTCATCGACGCAGCAGTATAGCGAGTTGAGCTGCCTGCCTAACATGACTGGCTGTACAATGCTTTCTGTCAATTTAGCAATCGTAATTTGGTGACCCATTTGAAAGGGCTTCTGTGAACTGATTTAAGGATAGAGCAGAGAACCTGAAGCTGGAAAATTAACTTTTTGTGTTTGTTTGATCTTCCATAGGATGTGAAATATATTCAAACAGACGGGTATCGGGCTCCAGAGGCAGAATTGCAGAACTGCCTGGCGCAGGCAGGGCTCCAGAGTGAGACAGAGTGTACTTCTGCTGTGGATCTGTGGAGTCTGGGAATTGTTTTACTGGAAATGTTCTCAGGAATGAAACTGAAACATACAGTCCAATCTCAGGAATGGAAGGTGAGTGAGAGCTGCTGCGGGTATTCTCACTTACACCAAACAAGTCTTCCTGCTTTTTGTTTGTAACCCGGATTTGTGAGGTATCACCTGGCAACTAGAGAGTGTTTCCAGGATGTTTCTCTAATCCTATTGATTTGAGAATTAAGGTTCCAGAGCCTTAAAGACCTGCCTGCCCTGTGGGACTGGCATGTCTGAATGCTGCCTGTGTTCAGGTTATTGAAAGCTGAGGGCTCCAGGAGTCTGTGTTTGGAGCCTGTGTCTTGCCAAGGTTTGGGAGGTGAGTTGCTCTGGCTGTGGTGTGGCACAGAAGGAAGAACAAAATGGATGGCTGATGACTGCCGGCTAGTTCAGCAGCAGAATGACAGTGGAATTATTTGCTGGTTTTCGTCTAATGTTAGCACTAATCTGGGGATCTTCTTGTAAGTCTGCATCCTGAGCAAACAAGAGGAAGGCTCTGTTGTTTGAGCCTGGAGCCTGAGTCTGTCCTCTGTTCTGTGTGAAATAATTTTGTTTTGCATTCCCCTTCCCAGTAGGAGTATCCTTTCAGCATCATAACCTCCACAGTAACAGCAAATTTGCCTGCGCATGGAAATTTCCAGCTTTTGCACAGGCAAATGGGAAAAAATTCATCTGACGTGGGCCTGCTAGTTTAACATATGAGGCTGGAGCATTGGGGATCTCTCACAAAATGCCACAGTACCAGAGCCCCCTGCATCAAGTCCAGAAAATGATGGGGTTTTGCAAGCTTCACGCTGGTCTTTTCTTTCCTCCCTAAGCACTTTTTCTTTTTCTTTCCAGACAAACAGTTCTGCCATCATTGATCGCATATTTGCCAGTGAAGGGGTGGTAAATTCAGCCATTCCAGCTTATCACCTCAGAGACCTTATCAAAAGGTATCTTATCATATTTAATAACTGTTGCTTAAAGATGTGCTTTGTAAAGCCTTATGCCTTGCTCTTGGTAACTTAAGAGCCTGCACATAACGCTTTTTTTTTTTTTTCTTTTTTGACAAATCTCCCTGCCACTGTGCTAGTAATAAGTACAAGCATTAGCAGAGATGCTCCAGCTCCTCTGATTTTGGCACAGTTTGGAGTAAGCACATAAAGAATGTTAGTCATGATGTTCATCACTTGCTGCTTCAGTGCTTTGCAATTCCTGCAAATGAGGTTATATTTGGAGAAAACTGGAGACTTTGCTGCTTTAGGGGAGTGTTTAGAAACGAGAGAGGGGGGCAGACAGTGCTGTTTCTCCACTGCTGTCAAGATTCAAATGCACATTGCAGCTCTCTACTGAGGGGTCTGCTGATGGGATTATTTTCACTGTCCTGTGACTCTGCTCTGAGGCTACAGAGTGAATGAGGACACAGCTTGGCAGAAATAACATCAGGAGCCACTGGTAAAGCTGAGTAGGGGATGTTCTCAGGCAAGCCCTGGGCTATTAGCTGCTTTGAATCCCATTTGTGGAAAGATGTGGGAGCTCCTTGGAGTGTGAATGCTTCCGTGAGACTGCATGTGTGCCCAAGATGTGGGCCGAATAGCCTGGGGAGGTGGAGCTGGAACATGCCATGTTCCTTGTGAACTTGTAAGTGAGCAACTTCCATCGTTTGGAGCTGAGAGACATCGAGAAGGCAAGTCCGCTGTACCATGTACCCAAAATGCTTTCAGGGGATCCTTCTGGTGTGCTTCAGTTGTGAATTGGAAGATGTGCTTCTCGGTCTTCTCTTTGTACCAGAAGCACCCCAAAGACAAGGTATTTGGGTATTCCTCTGTACCGGCTTCCAGCCTGAGTTGAATTTGTTGATGCAGGAATGTCACACGCAAGAGCATAAGGGTGTCTTCTCTTCCAGCATGCTTCATTGTGACCAAGGAAAGCGAGCCTCCGCTGAGAAGGCTTTATGCAGCCCGTTCTTCAGCATTCCCTTTGGTAAGCTGTGCACATCGCCCCTGCTCACGGCTTTCTCAGCACATATTGGAAGCAGCACAGACTACAGTTAAATTGTGTTGTTTCTGGTTCTGGCCTCGTTGCTGCTCCTTTGCTCTTTGCGGTGCTTGTCAGCCCTCTGCGGTACCACAGCAGGCAGGTCAGAGCGATGCCTGTGCTCTCAGTGCTGCCCTGCCCCTCTAGCCCTTCAGGCTGTCGCTTTTCCCTGGTTGGACTCCCGGTAAATCCTGCCCAGATCAAACTGACCAAGAGTGTATTGGCAGCAGCATTCATCTGAGGGGACAGAAATAACCAAGGTACTTACCTAATATTGTGACTGTTAAGGTGCTTTCGAAGGGTGCAGTGCTATTTGTGGTGAGTGGATGTTTTTTCTTATGCCAAGAGTTTCCCAGTGCAGAAGCCAGGAATGCGAGAGACTAGGGCAGTGGCTGGTGTTAGCATCTGCTGCTGCCTCCTCCGCACAGGTCGAATAATCCCAATGTGTTCTCGTGGTGCGAGCCTATTTTTGCAGTGACTGGCCTGCCTCTTGTGGTGTGTGTGTGGCAGGTCACAGGCAGATGTCACTGTCGCTTTGATCCGGCGCTTTCTCTTCAATTTAATAAAATGGTGGTGTTTCTCCGCTGAGCCCTCCCTGTTTAGGCTCATGTCTCTCCCTGTCTTCTGTTCCAAAAGCAACATGGTAGCGTTCTCCAGAGCTTGTCTTTCAAGAACGCCAGTGAAGAGCTTTGCATCCAGCTTTTCTGCAGCATAAATTAATGCTTCAGGCATCCAGCTTCTGGCTGGGCTAGCATCTTCCCTTGAATCTCAGCCCTGCTTTTCTTAAGCTGCTTGATTTACCTTCCCGTGAAGGTTAAGTATTGCCTCTTGAGGTCACGTCAAGATACTGGCGTTCCTGTGTGTTAGGCGAAGGTAACAAACTCATTCCTGTTTTCAAACTTCCCTTGCATCTCAGAAACTGGGACTGTTGTAATCAGAGCCACCTTCCATGGAAGGAGCTGAACCTTGCAGCTAGTATTGCTTTAGAGCAGAGGGAATAGTGTATTGGCAGTGCTTTCTGGTCTAGTTTTAAACACACAGACTTCTAACTGTACCTAGGAAGGTGCTTCTGTGGTTAGTGCTACAAGTTTATACAAGAGTTTCAATTTTTCTTAGTTGCTGCTTCTCTTCTTTGCCAAACTTATTTACATATGCTTGTCTGCACAAAGAAGCATTTACTGTTGCTTTCCTGGGAAGTAAAAAAATCGTCTGTCATTGCCTTTCACTAGGACACGGTTGTTCTGTTTAGAGCAAAGACAGCTGAGAATGGCTTTCCTTGTCATTTATAGCCAAGTCTTGACTTTCCAGTTCATCAACTTCTTTCCTGGGCTGCTTGCAGGCTGCAGCCCTCTGTGTTGTCAGCGTGGTTGGTATCACCTGGCACTTTGAAGAGGAGCAGAGGGGCTGGGCAGAAAGGTATTGTAAGAAATGAATTTATCGGTTGGTTACAGGAAGCCCAGATGGCTCTGAGTCCTAGGGGTTGGTTTGTCTCCCTCTCTGAAAAAAGACATGTGAAATGAAGGACAGACTTGAATAAAAAGGACGGCGCATAAGACCAAGGCAACACTTAAATGTTCTTTCAGTCTCTGTTTCATCTGATGTCTCTTCGTTGCCAACAGTTCTGTGGAAGAATGGTCCCAGAGGTTCACTTGGAGCTGGAACTTGCCTGGTTATCTGAATGCAGCACCTTTCTTCGAAGGGCTGTCCCTGAGTGCTGTTTGGGCATGATTTAGACTGATAAGGCCTTTCATCCCCTAGGCTTTTCATAAGGGTTCTTCCATGTCAGACAGGAGGAGATTTATAGTGTGTATGCTTGCCTATCATCTCCTTTTGTGCTATGAAATCAACATCTTCTGTCTGTCCCTGGCAGAGATGTCAACTCCCTCTCACGTGTTGTGTGCTTAGCTTGGAAAAGTATTTCCAAGGAAGTAATAGCCTGCTATCTTTGCAAACATAGTCAGAAGGCTCAAGCTGGAGAACTGGAACAGTTTTCTCCCTTTTCTCTCCTCTCTCTCACTGTCAAGTGTGAGAACTGTGAGGTACTGCTGCTGTGTTCAGCTACTGTAGCTGCCAATACAAATAAAAACGTTAACACTCTCCAAGTATTGCAAGTTGGGCTCCCAGATCTTAAATTCATGACTGGCCTGCCAGTCCCTTTCAGGAACATGACATCAAGCCTGTGTCCCTGGAGAAGTGACACTGTCCTTGCTGCTTCAAGTTTTTAGAGAACTGGGTGTCCTCTCAGATGTGACTCTCTCAGTTAGGCGTTAGTCTGTCCACCCTGACTGTTTCCTTCTTCCACAGTAGTGTCCATGCTGCACTGTTCCAGGCCATCCTGGAATTGCCTGTCTTTAGAGCAAGCGCCCCATGGCAGCAAGCTTTATTTCTGCTCCTGTGAAGTTGTTCACCGGATCACTGCTTACCCACCTTGTGGCCACCCTTTTGTGGCCGTGCATTATGCTATAGCACTGCACTGTGTAAGTAACCAAGTAGTTTTCCCCGTTTCTGTTGCAAGATTGTATGGTGGTCTTCAAAACAGTGCATTGCAGTTGGATTTTTGAAGGGGGGAGAGTTTACATGGTGTTTAGGGAAGAACTCAAAGATATTCTAGGGAGAGGTGAGGCTTGTGCTTAAGTATAGCTTAAGAATCGGAGTTACAGAAGCTGGCCAGCCTGTTTTCAGCTTGTCTGGTAGTTGTAACGGGACAGGCACATTGCAGAGTAGTTCTTTCATCTTCTTGCATCTCCATATGAGCGGGTCAGTTTGCTCGACTAGCATAACTCTTGAGGTCACATCCATTTCTGAATCCGAGCTCAGCAGACATAAGTCTAGTCTTAATTTCTGCTACCTTTGTAATTTTAAAGGCAATTTCAGGTGCTGGCCTCAATATAATTGCAGAGTGCACTGAATCCTTTGGAAGAGTCTGTCAGTGCACAGGTGAAGATAAGTTGGAAGCAGGGAGAATACAAGCTATAAATGCAGGTAATAGTAGAAAGAAGCAAAACTGTATTGCAAAGAGCAGTAACTCCTTGTGTATAATTGTGTGTCAAGTCAACTTCCCATTTTCTCACTCTTTTGGACTTTGATTTCTTTTCTCTCACTCTGTGGGTGTCAAACAGCTCCCCATATCGAAGATTTGGTGATGCTCCCCACACCTGTGCTGAGGCTGCTGAATGTTCTAAGTGATGCTTCTCTGCAGTGTGAAGAAGAATATGAAGGTTGGTGCAAGCCGTGCAATTCCCGCCTAGCAATATTGTCTTACAGGCTCTGTTTTGTTTGGCTTTGGGGATGTGAGAGCAAGCAGAAGAGCAATTAATAGGCACAAGAACAGCAAACAAAGAGCTGCTCAGCTGGGATTTGGTACCAAGTGGGTCAGCTGCACCAACAGAGAATAGACTAAAAGATTGAGACAGAAAGCAGAGCTTGTAGCAAGTTCTTGAAGGATCCCAGGTTAAAAAAAAAATTTTTATTTTGATTTTTCTTCTTTAGTTAAATGCCTACAGACCTCATAATGTGTTTGCGGCTCTGAGCTTCTGTTGGACATGTGGAGGACTCCAGAGCCTAGTAGCAGAGATCCTTAAAAGTTTGCTAGTGAACTTATCCAGGATCTCAGCAGAGAACTGAAATATCTTGTTGGAGTTCTTAAACTACAGCAAAAACTATACGTGGTAGGTGGCAAGGCATGTCAGTGGAATTTGCGTTTCTGCTTGCTCTCAAATCCACGTGAGGGGCAAAAGCTAGAGAGCTCTGGGGATATGAGTTTAAAAGGCTGGGTTCTGTTCACACAAAGAAAGGTTTGTGGCAACTACTTCAGTTCCCCTCCTCCAAGCCCTGTAACCGAAAAAAAAAAAAAAAAAGCACTCACAAATCCCAAATGTTTTAGCTAGTAGAAGGCCGGGCTTGTATGTGCAAGGAAAAGCACTGTCCATGTGCTCTGAGCCCTGCTGTTGGGGATTCACTGCCTGCAGGTCTGTGTTCCTAAGCCTCAGTTCAGACACTTCGTCTCATTAGGCGGCCATTAGGCAGTGTCAGCTTCTGCTGTGGCACCTCCTGATTGTTTATTTTAAATTGGGAGAAAAAGACTATCTGTTGACTGAACGTTCTTGATGCGTTCATCTGTCCTTCATTTGTTTCTTGGCTCATCCTAGTTGGCAAGGTGAGAGACAACCAGCTCTTTCCTTTCTCAGATATCCTGGAAGACATAAGGGAGGAGTGTCAGAAATACGGACCGGTGGTTTCCTTGCTTATTCCAAAGGAGAATCCTGGTAAAGGCCAAGTAAGTGAATGGAAGGAAGAGGCTGTGTATTCCGACGTACACTCCATGTGCTGCAGGACTGCTGCTCAGTTCCTGGAAATCTCCTGGCTGATGACAGTGCTAAAAATAGCTGGTTATCTTGAAGGACAGCACAGGTTCCTTCCTGGTTATGTGAGGTTGCCTAACTGGGAGGTCCCCAAACAGCTTTAGCAGGGGAGCTGGGATATGGGAAGGAAGGGGAGAAGCCAATGGGTGTGAGTGGAAGCGTTGAGGATGCAGAGCATCATCATACTTTCTCCCACCTCACCAAATATGCTGCCCTTAGAAATGAGAAGCAAGAGGTGAAATTCCAGTTCAGAGATGCAGCTCCTTCCTTTCTAGCTCCACTGCTCTGGGCTCAACGGAGGATAGAGGGGAAAAATTTGTTCAGGAACTGTTTCTTTGGTTGCAGGGGTGGGAGGGGGTGGGTGTCATGCTGCACTGGAAGTCCTATTTCTCCTCTCTCTCTTTCAGGTCTTTGTTGAATATGCAAATGCTGGTGATTCCAAAGCTGCCCAAAAAATGCTGACTGGAAAGATTTTTGATGGCAAGTTTGTTGTGGCTACGTTTTACCCACTGAGTGCCTATAAGAGAGGATACCTGTACCAAAACTTGCTGTAGGCAGTAGCAACAATCAGGAGAGTTGTCTTGCTCCTCTTCCTCACGTGTTTTACAGTTGAATGTACAAAAGAGCTTCCTAGCCCTGCTTTCGAGTCATCTGTGAAGGAGAGATGCAAAGGACTTAACTGGGCTTTGAAACCTTTACTGCTGCTTTGTGATGTGCTGAGGAGGCCGGGATGGCTTTCAGCGTGTGCTTGTGTGTGTGTTGTGCTTGCTCGTTTACATTGGGTGTGTGGCTTTGCCCCAGCGGGTGCTCGGGTGGCAGGAGTGGTGACTCTGGGAGGCCGAGCAGATCTTGGCAAGCACTTTTAAGTGATTTGAAATGAGAACATTTAAAGTCTTGGCCTTAGCACTTGGCTTTGCTCTGGAGAGAGGATTTCTTTGCTAAGCTTTCCTGTAATGCACGTGCTCTTCTCCGGTGCGGAGGAGGAAGGCTTCCCTGCCTCTTGTTGATATCTATGGTAAATAAAGAACCAGAAGCACCATCCTCTCTAAACTAGACCAGGAAGACTTTAGAGTCTTCACATCATGCAGAGCAGAGAGAGGCAGTGAAATCAGATGTGCTGAGCCAACAGCATTACCCTGTTGCTGCCTTGTGACCCGAGGAGAGCCATCTGCCTGACCTGGCACAGGTGGCGTGCTGGGCTTAGGCAGTGTGGGTGATGCTGCCTGCAGTGAGCTGAACTCGCTTGTATGCCTGGGGTGGGCAGGGGCTGACGGCGGATACATGTCGTCGGAGCAGCGCCAGCCTCAGTCCCAACACAACCTGTAAGCACTTTGTAGCCTGAGGCGATGTGAAAACCCTGTCGTGTGGAGTCATCTTTCTAGCATATACCTTGTGCTGGCACCGATGCTCCCTAGCTCTGATGCCAAATCATCTGTAATACGTAAGCGTCTTTAGGTGATATTTTAGGAAAGGAGTGCTACAGCACGCAGTATTCTTTGTGTCTCAGCAGGACTCCCGCCCTGCGAGTCTTATAAGAAAGAACAAGTATTTGTCTGTCGTAGGTCCCATGCTTGGCTTTTCTGTGATGTGCGTTTTGGTTTTGCATTAACCCATAAGACTTACAGATTAGAAGCACTGACACTTTTGGTCCTTCATAGATTACACAAAGGGCCTGAGGCAATCTGAGATCCTGTATGGAAAGGGGCTCACTCAGTTATCAGACTTGACTGGCCAGGAGACGGTCTTTCTCTGTGTCAGGGACAGCAGCCATGTGCTTTTTGGGGAAGAAACAAAAAAAAGCTCAAAGCACCTGCGTGAGCAGCATCACTGCTCCCTCCAGAGCAAGCTCTCTGCTCATGTGGCTGTAACGCATAGGTGGAAGCCCGCTCGCGCAGCCACTGGCATGGGGGAG